CCCCGCCTAGCCCCGGTGGGGAGCAGGCAGGGGCTCCCAGCCCTGAGCCAGCCTGGCCGAAATGGGGCAGGGAGGCTGCGCTGGGGCCGGGAGCTCTGGGCAGCTCAGTTGTTAAGTTCGGTAAGGATGACCCGCAGCTCGTTAGTGAGAACGCGGTTTTTCTCGGCCTCCTGCCGGGAGCGCTCTAGAGAAAACGGAGACATCAGCGCAGCAGAGGGAAGAGAGAGAGAGAAAGGCAAGTTAGTGGAAAGAGAGTGTTCCCCAAAGCCCTCACTGGAAATCCTGCAGCTACCCAGCAGCAGCGGGGATGAGCTGGGCTGGCAGGAGGAGGCAGCCAGTCCTGGGGCAGGGACAGGGCTGTGGGTCCATCAGTTTGAGAACTGGCTTGTAGGGCAGGGTAGGATGCTGAGGAAGGAGGAGGATCAGGGACCCGTTTAGGGATCACTGCTGAAGGGTAGGGTCAGCCCCTTCATCAAGGAAAGGTGATGCAGGAGAGATGCCAGGGCTGCGACCGCTGCTTGCAGGCAACAGCTGGGAGCAGGGATGGGGAATGGACAGGACCAGGTCTAACCCTGCTATTTCAGGCCCAAAGAGTCATGGAGAAGATGGCACAAGATGAGGAAAGCTGTGTACGGGAGCTGGGGGGGTGGTGGGGGTCGTCCCCCAGGCCGAGGCACAAAGGGCCCTGTCCTGCTCAGCCTGGCAGCGCAGGAGCAGCTTGGGGCTCAGCCACGGCTGTCCCGAGGGTCCCGCGGCTGTGAGCTGCCTGCAACCACCTCCTACCACCCCGCTGCCAGCACCCATGTGAGACAGGCAGATGAGGGACAGAGCACCATGAAGAAAACAAAGGAGAAACCAAGGAAAGAAAATGCTTTATTGAGACCAACTCAGTAACCCAGAGGGACAGAACATAAAAGAAAAGTCATGAAATGCAAACTGAAGAGCGATGTGCAAAGGACAGAAGGGAGGCAGAGGCGAGGGAGAAGCTGGGGGTCTGGGGGCTGCCTGCCTGGGAAAGGGCTGCCTGCACAGCCGGACCCAACCCTCCGTCCCCCAGGCCGAGCTTTGGCGGTGGAGGTTACGCTTCCCCTGTGCGTGTCCTCCCCACCCCGGGCCCAGCAAGCAGCACCGGGGGGGCTTTGCTGGTGGGGGTGTGGGGGGGCAGGTTGCCCCCCAGCCCCGGAGCTGCGGGGTCCCCAGTGCTTGTGCTGCTGGGGAGCTGAGGAGGGAGCTGCTGGAGAGAAGGGCTCCTGGGCACAGCTCTCTTCGCCCCTAGGCAATGCTGGGGCACAAGCCTGCAACCTCACGGGCACTGTCTGCCCAGAGTGTGGGGGGTCCCAGGGGCTGCTCCCCTGCCCTGCCAAACACCCCTAAGCACCTACACCTCGTCTCCCTACAACAAGGGGTATTGCGGGAACACCCCGGGCCGGCTCCTGTCCCAAAGGAGCTGACGGACAGGCACAGGCTAGGAAGGACAGAGGAGGACAGAGCGGGCAGGGAGAGCGGTGGGACGGCCGGGCAGGCAGGCGGCCGAGCTGGGAAGGGGAGAGGCAGGCGGGGAAGGGGTGCAGTGCTGGTGCCCGGTGGGGGGCTCAGAGGGAGGTGATGTCATTAAGTGCATTGTCCAGCTCCTCGCTGATGGCTTTGTACTTCATCTTCTGCGCATACACTTCGTC